TGAGGGAAATAAAACCAGATTAATGGATGAATTGCTATTTTTTTCTTGGAATTTTTTCCCCTAATTAGCGGATGGATGACTTCATGGGTGTCAGGCAGTGTTGTGCTAGTTACTGAAAAATAGTAACTAGTTACAGTTACTAGTGACTTTGTAAAAAAGTAACTCAAACACAAACCTTGACACTAGCACCAAAATTTTACCATTGCATTCTTGGAATAATAGTCTGATAGTGATAAAAGAGATCCAAATAAACAACTAAACATACCATGTTATTGTTTTATCAAGTTGTACCTGGTTATGAGTTTGTCTTTTGAACTCCAACTGCTGCTGCTTGCTTAGAGTGGGTGTGTGCTCGTTGCTGTGACTCTCGGTCTCGGATGCGTCTGCTACCTTAGCTGCTAACTTTGTTGAAGCGTGTCACTTCTCTAGTTGGCTCAGTAGATTGCTATTGCTGTTGTTCGCCATAGAGAGGATTTTTGACCCGAGACGCAGTTTACATGTTACTGAAATGTTATTTTTCCCTTTGCTCTTGAGTTGAAAATAATGTGAGTATCTCCATGAAGAGGGACTTATGTCCGCCATCATGCTGTCCCCTGACCTGTCCAGTTCTCCTCATGGTGCGTGTTTGATTGTGTGTGTGATGCCGGAGGGTGACAAGCGCTTTGTTTTTTCCAATTTAATTAAACTTTATTAATCGCTAAAATGTTATGGGAACTGTGTGCCGTTGTAAAACCTCACCAAAAGGAACAGAGTAACGCAGCGTTTAGTAACGAAAGCGGGGTTACTGAATTTATTAAAAAAACACGTTACATTATACTGAATAAAGTAACAGCGTTATGTAACGGCATTACTAATAACGCATTACTAACCAATGCAGGTGTCAGGTAATACAAGAGTATAGCTGCCACAGAAATTTAAAAAATAAATAAATTTGGGTTAATTATTATCATTATTATTTAGATTTTAAAGAAATATTGAGTTATACATATGTGCCGAGGCCTGGTCATCATGTGAACACCGTCTTTCTACAACATGTTACCGAGCTGAGCGTCCATCAATAGAAGTGAAACATGCCTGTCCCATGTCACACATGCCACCTTGACACATAAAGCCTGTTTACATGCTGCTACCATCACACTACTATCAAACCACACCAACCCGCCCACACACAACCCTCACTAAAGGTTACCATGCCTGGATTTTAATCTACATGTGAAATGTGCTCTCCTACGCTTCTCCTTCTGTCTTGTCAGCAATCTGGCTATTGCCCTGTGATTCAGAGAGCCTCACTTTATTGATTGAATGGGTTTTAGTCTCGAACACACACTCATGAGAAAACATACATCCCCACACGTACACACACACTGGTGACTTTGTTGCAAATGGAGAGAGGGAGAGGTATGAGTGTCAGGCCTAGCGTGATGGGTGAACATCAATCATTGCTTGTCAGCCTCGCCTTTTTTTCTCCACCCCCATCCTACCTCCGCCTCCTCTCACTTTTCTTCTGCTTCACTGATCGGCCTTTGTTTTGAGTGGTGGTGTGTTTGGGAGTTTGGTGTGTGTTTGTATGTGTGTAGAATGCAGTCCAACCACATGGACAAGACACTGGCTATTCACAGGTGTTATCATTCTAAGCTGCCTATGTTGTCTTGTTATTTACGTTTTACCTCCAGGTTATGACGAACACAGTGAATTTTAATGAGTTTTAATGGTGAAAGGTGTTTAAAAAACTCAAAATCTAAATTTACAAAGTTTCATGACTTTCTAAAACCTGTTTTTCAATAAATAAAAATAAAATCCAACTGCAATATATCCATTAAAAAGAAAAGGCTTTTTGCACTTTCAGATACCACTAAAGTGATTGAAGATAAAGTGCAACCTTGCTGTATATCACTGTCCAGGCTCTGGTTTGGTGATTTGTGTGCTTCGAGGTAAGCATCAAAGTGAAAGATAGCTAATTAAACAGCTGAAGGATGAGTTAGCTGAAGTCAAGTCAGGGCCTGTGTCCACAAACTGCATTATTTTTTTATTTATTTATTTTTACTTTTCTTCATTGGCAGCTCTTAGTTCAACATTTCTAGCGATCAGTGTCCCGAACACCAAAGATGTTGCTGTGTATGATGCACTCTTAGTTGAAAAGAATCTAACTTAAGTGCTTCTCAGTGTCGCTTCTCTGTCACCAAACAATCAAAACAAGAAGGAGCCGAACTTCTGATATCAACTATGTTAACAACAGTGGCAAAGGTCCTTACAGAAGTGAAAATGATTCAGAAGAAGAACATTATTGATCCCTGAAGGGTAAGGCAAGAGCAAGTGTGGTGGGATGGCTTTCATTGCCAAGCAGCAGTAAGCAGTAAACATTCCTGTTGACCCAAACAGTAATGAAATCTATTAGAAACTTGAACAATATCATATATACTCGTAAATGTGTGGGTCATACCAATATAGGTTTTCACATTTTTAACATATATGGCTCATCTATTTATCTATTTTATAAATTAAACATATAAAAAAATCTAAGATATGTTATTAATGTATATATATATATATATATATATATATATATATAAATATATATATATATATATATGTATTTTATACAGTTGTCAATATAAAACTTTTTCATAAGTATTAGATTAGTATTACATATATGTTGTAAACCTACATCTTCATGTGAATGTGAACTACGAGATAGTATTTTTCATAGATGTAACATGTATGGTAACATCACTTCTGATATATGGTTATGAATGTCATATATTAAATTTCAGTATGTAGAGAGCACTCTGAAACTGAAGTCAGAGTGGATGCTGCTGGTGTTACAAAAAATATTTAGTCAGCACAGACTCTAGCTATTATGATAATCACAGTTGGACAGCTGGCAAACTTTAACCTTTAATTTAAAGGTAAAAAAAAGTTACAACTAAATCAGTTTGAGACAAAAGAGGGAAAAAAAGAGCAAATTCCCCATCTCTGCTACCACAAGTACATGGTTGACCTGATGTGACTTAGGTAACTTTACGATCATAAACTTTAGCATACATGATTAAGAATAATATCTGTTATTGTTGTTTATTTTAGCATGGATGTGAACAGTGCTTGAGCAGTGAGAGACTAAGCAAAACAGGCACTTCACACATGTTTTATCCAGTATCATAAAACTGAAGTTTTCTGGGGGGAAAAAAAACTCTTCATAGTGAGTCAAACAGTCAAGGAGCACGTAAAAGTGGTTAAATCATCTTTCTGTGGACATTATTGAGTAATACTTCCCTGAAATTATCCTTTTACACAGAAAAATTGGCCATTGGGAGATGTTTACAACATTTTTCATCATTTTGTCATTCACAAAATGCATTCATTTGTAAAAAGGTCAAATCATTAATGATTTATTCAAACTGGTATGTATGTGTATTTCACGTATATTTATATCTGTGGTTGTTTCTTTTTCCCTGTCTCTCTGTCCATCTGACCTCCTGAGTGCTTCATGCAAAAATTCAGAGAAACCAGAGGATTAGAAGACATCCGGAACTAATAGACTTTCCAAAGAGTTGAGCTCAGAGTATGACGATTTATGAATCAACCCGGGACAAGTGCAGCGTCTGTTTGTCAGAGAAACATATATTTCTTCTTTTTCCTTTTTGGAAATATAGATCTGGCCATCCACCAATCACTGGGAGCGTGTTCTCTTCATGTTCTGCCAAAAAATACAGCATGCTCTTTCTCGGCTGGTCTCTCTGACTCTATTTGTTATTATGCTTTGTTTTGTGTGGAGAAAGCCCCAGTGTGTCGTATTTGTAATGGGTGCCAGGGGCTGGGGGAGATGTGTTTTCAATTACCACTTGGTAGAATGACTGATGGTAAGACAATCAAGCACAGAACTGCAGCTCAGTGTGTGTGTATGTGAATTTGTGTGATCATCCATGTGTGGCTATGTTTGTAAGTGTGCCAGCTTGCATGTGCAAAGTGCTTTGTGCATGTTTGTGGGGGCATGTCTGCATCTGTGTTTTTATGTGATTTGTGCTCTGCTTTTTCCCATATTTGGCTTTCATTCAGCATAGTTGGGTTGTCATAGAACTTGCAATCACTTTTACTGAAATAAAGGATTATGAAAGCAAAACTTTGGACTTCTTCCGTGCAAAACCCAAAGGTAGAATTATGACGAATATTTATGATCCTTAGCATAATCTGTTAAATTCTCTATATCTTCTTGGATTCCTTCAATTCGTTTGATCGTTCTTTTGTCTTCTAGCAAAGCCACACTGAAACTCAGCGAAGAATATGGAGCCTAAAACCAATGTGATCACAAGGCACACGAAGCAGAAGGCTAGCGGTGGTCCAACTCTAATGGCGTGCTCACACCAAGTGAGAGTAAAATCGTCTGCTTGTTAAATTTGTGCCAATCTTGACAAGTGGATGAATAGTATTTACTCACTTTAACAGTAATTTCAACGGTAAACCCTACCAATGTCACCGTCACTTACCAGGTAACCCGACCTCCTCACTCACTTTCCTCCAGAGGAGCTCCTTTTTATTCCAGTTTCGGTAATTGAAAGAAAAGGTATCATATAATTCGGGGCACCCACATTTTCAGCTCCCGCCCAATTCGTCTTATTAGCGCCATCAGAGTAGTACAAGCGTCTAATCACTTCTTTACATTGACTTAATATGTGATTCATGTACAGGAATGATTTTACTTGCGCTTGGTGTGTGGAAACAATAAAAGTTTGTACGTGGAAAACTTGCTGTAAAAATTTCAATCCAACGTGGTAATCTAAGTTATACTGTGCTTTGTTCCCGACATTGACCACAATTAGTATCATTGAATCCAGAGTTTATAGATGTAATGAGGTTATTTGTTCACATTTTGACAGAAATGTCTCTGTGGTTATCTACAGTGACTTCAGAAAGTGAGTTTCATGAGGGTTTTTCACACAGAATGTAAAGTCATTTTCTTGTGTCCATCCTTTATGTCCTTTATTTATGGACACAAAGAGTGTGTCCCTCAGTCCCTGTTTCCTGCTGTATTATAGAGCCCTGGAGTCTGATGTTGTCTGAAACGTCCAGGACACAGATGGAGCTCATGAATGATTGATCGCAGGTGATGTTTGCAGCCAGCCAGTCACAACTCCAAGGTAAAAGGTAATGTGTGAATAATGAATTCATGTCCATGATTTTCAAGAACTTTGAGTGCATACATTAGGAAATGCACTTTTTATTTAACAAATTCATGCTGAAATTCTGAGGGTTGTTCTTTAGCTTGCCACTCTTCTGCATTTTTGATTGATTAAGAATACTCTAGCATCGTTAAATGCATCATATCAAACACAACACAGAACCAAACACCTACACACTCACTTAAACACACACTGAGATAAAGAAAGGACATATTAGAGCAGTGTATTGTATATTTATGAGGTCGTGTAATGCATTACATCTAATATTAAAGAGATTCCCCTTCCTCTCTGGCATGAAATGACACAAAGAAAGAGCACTGTTTTCAAGAAAGGGAATCTGATAAAAATAAGACTAAAATTCTTAAGAGGAAGTTCTGTATGAATTAAGACACAATTGGAGGTTTACTCTGTGGTAACATTGCGTGAGTTTGTCAAGACCAGAGGTCTCTGTGGATGCTCATTGTGATTAAAAAAATCAAAGCCAGTGTATTTGATAAGCCAATCGTATGTTGGGACATTAATATTTCATAAAATGAAAAAAATAGCAGGCAAAACTTCAACTGTTTCACATCCTCCATTCACGTCTCTATCTTTCATCAGAAACTCCAACAGTGACCTCTAGTGTGGCTGCTTCCCTGAAGACCTGTGTGTGAGAGAGAGAGATGTACGAGCCTGCATCACAGTGAGGATTAAGTGAGTCAACTGTATGTCAGTGACAGAAAATTAATTTCACTCTTGAGTTTTTCATTTAGTTTATGCTTGGACTGTCAAACACAGTGCATCGTTTGTGTGAAGACAGAGCGACATGTTTAAACCGGCTCCTCTCCTCAGTAGCTGCAGGTGTTTCTGTCACAGCCCTCTACATGAGTCAGAAAAGGATTTCCAAATCATGTTCTGTTTGTTTTACTTAACCTGCAAAACCAGATGGGTGGAGTTTAATGCTACTGATGAATACCAGGAAGTTTAGACAATATTTGGAAGATATTTCAAACAACACACCATGTTATTTTTAGATTCAAAACACTTACTGGAGAGTGAATTCTGCATAAATAAGGCTCAGGGAATCAGGAAATCTACATGATAATTATTTTATCTTAAAAATTGTATGTGCAAATATAGACACTGCTGCCTACACTAAGGGCTCTATTTTCGTGTCCACCGGTTAGGCGGCGGAGTGTGGCGGACCCTGCGCAGTGGTATTTTCGTGGACTGAGGCGCACCGAGGTCCGTCAAGCTGGGCGTGGTGGCGTGGCAGGGGGAGGTGTCGACAGAATCAGCTGGCGCAGAGACATTTTTGTGCTCGCCGGTGGCTTATAAAGTGCGCTGAAAGCTCGCCGATTCAAACCTGGTCAGCTTTCAGAGCACGCCGAGCGCAGCTGGTCAAGTGGTATTTTGGTAGACCGGCGGAGTATCGGCATATGTAACCGATGCCTCGGTGGCAGGTTTCCACAGTGTCAGGCACATTTCAGTGAAATAAATAATCAACAACAACTAATAATCTGAGTCAGCACATACATTTAGATCTATATCAATATATTCTGATGAGCGCATTTGGCACGCGTTTGGACACACAACCTGACCAATCAACACAGCTGAAACCGCATTAAATTAAATTAAATATCTAGTAAATAGACACACATGATGAAGTTAACAAGATATGTAATTCGTCTCCCTCCTTTTCTTTCTTCCTCTTCCTCTGATTTCTTGCGCAGCTCGACCTGGACATGTCTTCGTGTCCTCTCCCTGTCCTGCTGCAGCTGCTGCTGTGGTGGCTGAACAGATGATTTGTTTCAGTGATCAGATGAGTTATTTACTTTAAGCCGACATACGAATATCATAATATTCAGTTTTGTGAGCCAAATTTATTTTATATGCCAACATCTATGAAAGAAAGAGCCAGGCCACGGAGCGCGATGCGTCATTTACGCACAGATGGTTCTGATTTTAATGACATTGTTGGAGTTTATGTTGTGATCTGTGCGCTCAACCCACCTTTGTCACGTGAGGTTTGAATATGTGCAACTTTATGTGAGTGTCTTAATTTGTGGAAAGGGTGTTTGTCTTACTAGTGGGTCCAAACTTACACACACCAAATACATCCGTGGTCATATGAGAGAGTGTGAAGGACGCCCTCTGCAGCGTTTACAATGACACTTGTTGAGGGCTGCCCTCTGTTGCCATCGTGTGGCATTACTGTCTTCGGACATCTCTTGATCTCTTTGACTATTTCACGAAAACAGTAATACGCCTAGTAATACGTGGTGGATTTAAAGGCGAGGAGAGGAGCTGATGTTATTGGTCAATACAGGTCTCGGCTGTGTTAAACCCACTCCAAGCCCGCTCTCCTCCCTTGCCACAACTTACGCCGCTGGGAGGAGCTGAGTTAGGGAGGGGGGATACTTACGCCAGGCTACGCTGCACACCAAAATACCAAATTGTGTTTGCTAACACCTTGTCGGCGCAGCGGACCTGACTTATTCAGTTTTGAATGCGCCACGTCTCCGGCGAAGCACGGAAATAGAGCCCTAAGAGTCTATAATGTAAGAATGTGTTTATAATCTCCTGGAGTACTTGATGTGTAATACTTAAGTGAGGAAAGCTGGATCTCCTCTCAGGCAGATATATGATCTTACACTAAATAAGAAATTGTGCAGCTTGGTGACAAACATACATGCATGCTGACAACACCTGCACACTAACAACACACATATGTGAGAAAAACTCCACCACACTACAAATGTCACCCAACCCAAATCACTGCATCTAAGAAACTACCCTCTCTCTTTCTCTCTCTCACTTTGACTCAAACACACACACACACACACACACACACACACACACACACACACACACACACACACACACACACACACACACACACACACACACACACACACTTACTTTTCCCCACTAGCTAGGCCCTTTAGCCCCAGGCTCTCCACAATGAAATTTTCATGCAGCCATATGGAGGAGTATTGGTGATAGAGATTTACTGTCAGGGCTACACGTCCCGCTGGAGAAAACAAGGAAGCCTGAACATATTGGCTTCTGTAAATCAGATGGAGAGGAGAGAAGAGGAGAGAAGAGGAGAACTCTTAGATCTTCCAGTGCCTTTGTTGACAAAAGGAGTCCTGGCAGGAAAAGACACATATTGTGTACTTGTGTCAAAGTTCAGTTAAGCAGGTACAGGAGCAAAACAGTGCCAGGGTTGACCCCTATTCTCTGTTGTGGTATTATGAGGGAAATAGAGGAAATGGAGCTCAGAGGCTTTCAATTGACCGTGAACTTTAGAAAAACAACCCTCTGTGAGAGGAAAGGTCACTGTTATTGGAAGACAAAGAACGTGGAATGATTCAATGTTTGCAGTGATGTACTTCCTCCTGTTTGGCTTTGTGTGTGCATTTGTGTGTTTGTTCACATTTTGTGTGGCAGCCAAGACTGGCTCAAGATTTGTAATTAGCAGTGAGCAACACTCTAACAGACAGGAAATCATTGACATGGTTTGTTTATTCACGATTGTTCAGATACTGCTCAGATTCTTACTTTCACCGTCTGGCTTTGAAACAGATTAAGTGATTAATATAAGCCTTGTGTTCATGTTAGAAAGTTTAACAGGACTAGTTTTAATCAGATAAAACCAGCATTAATAAAACACTGAAGTATTCTTTAAAAGATATTTAACCACAGATATCCAAGCGTGCTCAGTGTGAAAAAAAAAAAAAAAAAAAACATGTACTTTGTGTATTTTATAATATTTTAAATAATCCTTAAATTGATTCACTCCAATGCTTCCTCATCCAAATTATCTGGCCTCCGCACCGAACACTGAAAGGACAGTCTCTCTCTCTCTCCCTCTCTTGCTGAGCTATACCTGAATCAGTGCCAGACTCAGGAGAGCAGTGTAAACATCCAGGTCTCTGCTCTGGGTCTGCTGGTCCAGACCGCACAAGGCCCCTCCAGCCCTCAACCTCAGCCAGCACATTCCCCTCGCGTCACTCAAAGACCACAACAATCCCGTCTTTGTCGGCCGGTGATTGATGACACACAGGAATTTCATTCACGACCGCCCTGTGTTTTTGGGTTACCCTGACGACCAGGTGAAAACAGAGTACATCGGGGGTATTGAGTTTCCCAACCTTGATCACAGGGGAAGAGGTAAGAGGGGAAAAAAAGGAGAAGCTACAGAAGCGAGGTCAGTGTGGAAGTTAAACAAACAGCCATAGTTGTTATCTTAAAAGATAAGCGCTGGGAATTATCTTGTTGATTGTTCACAGGTCCAGTCAATGCTGAGCTTACTGTCTGACTGTCCACACAGTTGACGTCATATAGACCATTCCTGCCTCACATTTCCTCTTATTTTGTTTGTAGTTTCACTTAAGTCAATAAAGTACATAAAGTTCTTTTTAAAAATCATTTGGTACAGTTTCCATGTCAATAATTTCTTAATAGTCAGTATCAAATTTAGGAAAGAAAAGCACACATATGAGTTTGTAGACGTAAACACAGTGAAATCCAAGGACACATCCATATAAATAAACCCTCTGTCTTTCCTACCCCTCCAACGCACACATGCACAGTCTCACATGCACATACATTCACATAGTGCACGCTCATTTAATGGATATAGCTATGGTAAAGTGCACCATTAAGAGAGACGAGAGCCTGAGCATAACAAAGCTCTGATGCAATATTCATGCTGTCTCATTCTGGGCTAATGCTGTTTCCCTCCATTCCAAAGCAATGGATTTGCACATAACATGTCTCTATAAAGACTCTTAAAGTGTACACTGAGAATCTTTTTACTTGGAGCATTCGATCACTTTATTCCACAGAAGCTAATTAAGAATTTGCTTGTTCACATACCTATCTTACACAGACATGAATACATTAAAGCAGAGGAGTTAGAGCTATAGGGAGTGAGTTAAGTGGTCAGCTGGCTCTTGAAGACATTTATTAGATGGACACAAAGGGAATCAAACTTTGAGAAAGATCTTTAATGCCTGCTGTAAAAGTAGGTATGGATTTACTTCAGTTAAGTCACTGCAATGACCAAACCAGAAAGCCACAGACAGGACTGACCACAGACAGCAAGTGTGCCTGAAATCAATTGATGTATTTCACCCAAACATGGTTTCTGTGTGAAAAGCTTTTAAAAGATAACTTAAGTTATGAGTTATCAGTGATCATAAGCAGATAATAAACCACTTGAGAGTTAAACTTTTTTTCCTTCGAAGGGACAAAACCATAGACTGTATATACTATGGACAACTTGGCTCTGCCTTCCGTCATTATACGAATTTGAAGCCAAATTGCTCTCGGTATTTCAGGGATTTTCTCCACTTCCTGGGACCACCACTTGCGCAGTAGTGTTGTACACATTCGGCGGGAGAGTCGCTGTGATGACACTCGGCTCAAAAGGATGATGCTCGGGTGAGCAACGCAATCTCTGTACGCCCATAGGCTGTATCAAGTGTCAATCATAGAAAATATGAACCCCCTAATAACTTTAAAAATAGAGTTGCACAGAAAAAAAGGACTTAGGCACAAACCAGTCTTACAGTAACTACATGTCAACATTGCAACCAGGGGGGAGAAAAATGTATATTCAGTGTAATTAATATCTAAAGGTTGTCCACAGCTCCATAGGGATTGCTGAGGGAGGCAGGATTCATGACCTATACTGCAGC